AGCCTGCCAAAAACAACAATGATGGTTGCAACCAAAAAATAGCTGGGTGTTGTGGCAGGCGCCTGTGGTTCCAGCTACTTGAGAGGCTGAGGCAGAAGACTCACTTGAGCCCAGGATTTGGAGGTTGCTGTGAGCAGTGATGCTACAGCACTCTACCCAGGGGGACAACTTGAGGCTCTGTCTCAAAAAAACAAAAACAAACAAACAAACAAAAAATAGCCAGGCATTGTGGCGGATGCCTGTAGTCCTAGCTACTTGGGAGGCTGAAGCAAGAGAATCACTTAAGCCCAGGAGTTAGAGGTTGCTGTGAGCTATGATGCCATGATCAAGCCAAAATGGCAAGATCACTCTCTGCCCTCAAAAAACTCCGCCTGGCGAGGGAGATGGTATATGAATAAGTAAGTCTAAGAAGTGTACAAGTAACCTGAGAGATGTCTATACGGGGCACTATGGAGACCCAGAGGCACAAGAGGATGACAAAGTGAGACTGTCTCAAAAAAAAAGGAAAAGAAAAATTGAGATAATGAATAGGAAATAACTATGGAACCCAAGGAGTTGGGTGCAAGTGCTGGTTATTGATTTTCTCCTCCCTGCAGACTGAGATTTCCAACAAAGAGCTTCCTTCCCAAAGGCAGAAACCCAGCCCTCCTGCCCCACTGTCTTGCCCAGAAAATGAAACCTTCTCTCCCACAGCATCCTTGTCTGTCTCTGCCTCCCAGGCACCTGAGGGCCAGGAAGATGCTCCTCCTGATGGAAGAGTGAAGAAAATCCCCACTCCCTCCCAGCCACTTCCACCCACACCCTCAATGGCTTGTTGCTTCAAAAGTCTCACCAGCTCCCTTGTGGTACAATTTCATACCTCTCCTGGGCTCAGGCCAGGCCTCTTAAGGAATAGAGAGGGGAAAAGCAGGCTTGATTCCCAGGGGAAAGACAAAGCCCTGCCCTCAAGGAACCCCCAATTTGATGGGCTTGCCCTTGGGATCATTCTATCCGACAGAGGAGACAAAATATTAGTGATAATAAGAGTTAACACAGATATCACGGACCATATGTTGGGCACGGTTCTAAGCACTTCATTCACGTGTGCTTCACACCAACCTCATGAAGTAGGTGCTTTTTTCATCCCTTTTTTAAGACAGGGAGACTGAGACACACACAGAGAGGTATGTAACACACTCAGAGTCACACAGCAAGTAAGTGGAAGAATAGGGATGTGAACCCCAGCAGTCAGACTCCAGAGTCTGTACAATTAACCCCTATGCTTTCCTGCCTTCCAAACAGCTGTCAGAAACCTAAACAAATCCCAACATGGGCAAAAGACAATGATACCGAGTACACACTGGGTGTGGAGGACCAGAGCAGAGGAGGCATTGGTAGAGGCTGGGTCCAGTCCCTCTCCTGATGACCCTGAACCATCCACTGTGCCCATATCAAGTAGGGGAGCTCACCTCCCCTCCATGTTAGCTGACATGTACGTCTCAGGTAGAGCATTCTGCACAGTCCCCTCAGGCCTGGGCTGAGCAATGGTTTAGTATATCTGCCTTCTTGTCACCAGGGCACTATACTTGGAGAGACCAGATTAGGAGAGCCAGACTCTCCAGAGAGACCCCACAGTGCAGAGGGAGGTCTGGTCCTACCCAGCTCCAGAGTGTGGAACCTAGATCTTTCCTTCAGGACACATGGCTCCAGAGATGAACACCCAGGCAGGAGAGGAGGAGGGCAGAGGAGAGCCATCTGCAGTCGGGCTGGCCAGGATCCGGTTTCATATCTCCAGACCAGTCAGCTTTGTGACTACTTCCCCTTCCTCAGCTTCAGTTTTATCATCTGTAAAATGGAGATGGGGAACTCACTGACGTATGAAGCCACTTTCAGCTTGGGCAGCCTAGGGATCTAGGAACTCTGGAGTCTTTTTGTGTGGTCCAAGGCCCCATACAGTCATGGCT